GAAGAGTAAATTTTAAATAGCCATGTCTTTTTCATGACATTTCTGTCATGAAATGGTACAACGAGAGCTAACACTTACCAAGCGATTACATGTCAGATTCTTTACATGCATCACCTCATTTTTTCCCTCCCAAAACTTAAGATGTGAGGAGACGATCAGTGTCACCACTTTGCAACTGAGGACAGTAAGGCTTAGAGAGGATCACACAGAAGTAACCAGAGAAGTGGAGTTGATCCCAGCTCGGTCTGACACCAAAGCCTGGCCTCTCCACTAGACATTGTCGGAATACTTTCTCATACCATTTTCACCTCGGCTAATTTTTAGTTTATTTTGTTTAAATTAAGTTATGTACTTTTAAAGGGAAGCAAACAATGTTGGGCTGTGAGGTATCTAATATAACAGAAGCACTGCCAGGCATGAAATAAATGGGATGAGCTTTGGGCCTCTTTTGTAGAACAGCTAAATTTCATTTACGCAGGCACATAAGGCTCAGATAATTATATGCCAGGAAATATTCCCAAATCTCATTATTGATAATAAGTCTGAGCCTCTACTCCATCAAATTATTACCAAGCAAGCAGGATGATTTAATTTTAACCTCTCTCCACCATCAATAGCTCTAATAAAGAAGCTAAGAGTCAAAGCTAAGGGAAACGTCTGGAGTAGCTATTCTTATATTAGATAATAAGGACTTTAAACCCGAAACTATAAAGCTAGGAAAATGTAAAGAATAATAAAAAGAGGAAAAACTAACCTACCAACCAAAAAAAAATCACCTGTCCCATACACAGCTAAGGTCAGTTGAGCTGAGGGAAATTTTAAAAAGATTGATAAAGGCAGCACCATTCTAAACATGGAAAAGTTTACGAACTGTTTTGCATGGCATGGAAAAGAAAGAATATATCTTAAAACTTATGCACATAAAGTAATTTGAGCATCAAATGCTTATCACATCATCATAATATTCAAGTGAAAATATTTTTGCTCCTAGAAGCCATTCGAGAACCCACACTCCTTTGGACCACCCTCAGTGGATCTATAACAACACAAACTTATTATAAAGACAAGCACAATCACCTTGACAGAAGTCCCCCAGCCAATAATCAGTGTCACACTGTCCTTCCAGCAGAGGCTGCAGGGATACATATCTGGGCGAAGACTTATATCATCCCGTGGCACATTGGTGATTCTTTGCTTTGAGGTGATGTCAAAAATCTTCACACCCTGGAAAATAAAAGAGTATTTAAGCACCCTCCACTTGGGAGAAAGAAAGTAAAGTTAAATTTATTAACAGACCCTGCTACATACCACCAATAATCAGCACTGCAAAATACTGATAGTGCTTACAGAGCACGGCTAGGAACCATGCATGGGAAAATGCTCCTGCTCCACACAAACCTTAGGAGAACCAGAACCACAAGAAAACCTCCACTCTTCTTTCTTGACAAAGGACATTTTATTAGTGGATGGCATGCATGCCTCAAATCCAACACAAATGTGAAATGTACAGATATCAACAACTGCATTTCCAAAATGACAGACAAGTAACATTTCTAATTGTATTGTTCCACCACAAAAAGGAGGCTTGCTTTTTAGAAAGGCTTTGAATCTGAAAAACCTCCTATATAAAGAAAACTACACCTGACATTTTAAAGTTCTCAAATGGAAACGTCAAGCAAGCAGCTAACTAAAAATGAACCAAGAGACCACTGGTTTGTTTACCCTTTATGGTGACCCAGGAGAAGTAAGAAAAGTCTTAAAAAGCAAGGTAGATTCTGGGGAGATTTCTATTATTTAAAACAGAATAGAAGTGATTTATTAAGTTATACCTTAAAATTCTAAAAGATATGCCAGATGTCAAAAGAACCATTTTCACAACTTTCTGCCAGCCCCAATTCACACTGAATAAACTTTAAATGAGTGCAGCAACAAAAATTATAAGTCATGGGGGCAGGGGGGGAGAAGAAGAAAATAAATTATAAGTCACATTCTTACAGGTAGGCCTGTGCTTTTTTTATGCTGGGAATAAAAGAGAAATCAGCAACATTCTGGACTTGTTTCACACCCAGTGTTACTTGCCCTTGGCTAACAGGCAAATGGTATTTTCAAGACCAGGTTTCCAATGCAGCCTTTCAGTGCTAAAGATGGCTTTTCATTTTCTTGGCTACTCTCCATGCCTCAAGTGTCTTATTCTAAAATGTTGGGAATCACTACATTATGAAAGCCAAGAGCAATCTGATTTCCTTAACCTCTCAGGTATGTCATCAATGGCCATTTGTATCTTTTGGAAATGACCACCACAGTGAGTGGCATCTTTCCCACTGTCACAGTCCCCTTAACTCAGCCACTCCCCTGCCACTGAACAGCATTAGGAAGACGTGCTTTTACCATGTTATTGGCCCAAGCAATCAGGTGGCCTCTCCACTTCACACTCCTTATGTTCCCTTCCCCTTCGTGCAGAACAGAAGACTTCCACCTGTTCATCCAAGACCGTTCAAACAGCAGCAACTGGGGACAAATAGCATCGACACGGAATTTTAGAAATGAGAATCATGAATTAGATTCCTTACTTCTATTTTTGCCTGTCCATGTGACCAAATAAATAACAAGCGAGTCATTCTCTCAACATTTTTTATGTCGATTTATAGTAGTATATGATTTGCATTTTGAAAAGAATTCCCAGCACATTTTATCCCGCCCAGGACATTCTTTAAAATGGATGTGAATGCTGAAGTTACTATAAAGTCAAGCCACAAGATGGCACCAAAACACCACGATTCATGAAAATAATGCACATCCCAGGACATTCTTTAAAATGGATGTGAATGCTGAAGCTACTATAAAGTCAAGCCACAAGATGGCACCAAAACACCACGATTCATGAAAATAATGCACATTAGTTAAATCAAAAGATTTACATCACAGAAAGTTCTTCAAATAACTGCCGAAGAACTATCTTATTTACATTTTATTTTGTAAATTGAGTAATCAAAATTTCATGTTTTTCAGTGAAAATAAGATTTTAGTCACAAATCCAACTACAATAGTTAGAAGCTGTCTATGTTTTTCATTTAACCTAAGATAAATAATTTAACAATGACTTTTGAGCAGTAATTCATGTCACAAAATAAAGGAAATTTGCTTTAGGATTAAGCTTCTTTAAAAAGTTTAGAGCAGCTAGGGTTTTTACTTTAAAGGTAAGAATCTATACTTTAAAAAACCTGCTGGATAAATTTTAATACAAAATATAACTGGTCAAAAACTTCTAAGATTGTTGAAGATGTAGTTCTAGTCATTCATGCATTATTAAGAACACAATAAAGTATTTTTCTTTATATAGCAAATTTCAATCCTTTAGGAAAAGACATTTATACAATATAACAACTTAAGCATGTCATCCTGAAATACACAACTACCCTTTAGAGGCAAATGTTGATAACAGATTCACTAACAGAATTAGAGGCAACTTCAGTTCACCTTAGTATATTTTGTGTTCTCTCCCCAACCCAAAAGAGGGGGAAAAACAAATAGCGGAAAGAGAGTACGCTCACAATCTATTTGTATTTCCTATATATCCGTCTCAATAGTTACATTCCAATAGTCAGAAGGGGCAAAAAAAAGAAGAAAAAACCTTGAAATTTATTAAGTGTCCATCTTCACAAGTAAACTGCATATAGTCACTTTAAAATGCTACAAATGTCTGAAGCTCTGTATTACCCAGGTGAAAGCAAGGTGGCCTCACAACTTCCACAGCAGAGCCTGGAGGCAGGGATTCTACTGAACATTTTAGCCCTGTCTTCCTATTAGATAAAGTCCACACACTCTCAAAGACTTCTATCACATCTTGTCCTCTCCCTCCCCAGGTGCTAATTAAGAAGCCACCACCACTCCTCCCTGCCCCAGTTAGAGACCCACAGGTATGCCCTCTGTGATTCAGCCTCTCCCTCCCTCTGCCATCATGCAGAAAACAGAGCCGGGGTCCCCCGCATCGGGCCTAATGCAGAGGCAGGATGAATGGGTTCAGCGTTTTGTGACAGGATAGGTCTGAAATTTGGGAAAGGAGGAGAGAGCCCGAGTACACAGTTCCTGCTACTGAGATCACACTCCACTAAAGGCAGGCAGCTAATAGTCGTTTTAAACATGAGGAATCGATAAGATCAAAATGTCTGTCTCCCATCTGTGGCCTGGCCCTGGTGGAGGTGACTGGAAGCAGTGGGCAGGGCCCAGCGAGCACTCAGAACCACGCATGAGAAGTGATGGCTGGCTGCATGGCCTCAAGCGTCTCCCTCACCAGTTCCCACTTAGAAATGCCCAACACAGTACTGACAGGGGCAACAATCCACAGCTGTGTTGGAAAATTAAGTACACCCCAAATTTAAATGAAAATTTCTGTTAAATATGCTAAAAATAAGACCTAGTGAAAGCCATGATTTAACTCATTCCCAGAAAAAGTCTGCCTGGGAAATATTTGGTCCGGTCGGTACCAGAACACCACTCCCCGTGTTCAGTGTAAGGGGGCCGGGGAAGGCACGGGTGAGTCACGTCCTGAGAACACAGAGGGTGAGAAAGGAAGCAGGTGCGCTGGCAACCCCAAGGCACCCGCGGGAAAATTCAGTATTGGAAAAGAATCGGAATTATCCGGGGAATAAGAAATCCCCCACTCCAGACTCCACACAAACGAGACACTCCAAATACCAGGAAAGAACTTGAAAAGTAAAATCTTATTGTTTTTATCATCATTCTCAGGTGACAACAAAATTAAGCAAGAAATCAATAACAAAGAACAAGAAAAACAATCAGATGAAGAAATACTCTCAAATCTTTGCGTAAAGAGGAAATCACACTGCAACCAGACTAGCTCAAAAATGAGAATACAGACACTGAAGCCCTAAAGTTTAGGGGATGCAGTCAAAGTTGTAAACGAGGGAAAGTCCACGGATCTAAAAGTTAATAATGAATAAAACAGATGTGCAAGTGCTAGCTACATGAGAAAAACAGAAACACCTCACTGAGGAATATAAAAGGAGAACGAAATAAATGGAAAGATACGTTACGGTCATGGATAAGACCCCACGATTCTCACTGAAGAGCCCAAGTCTCACTGAATTAACTTACGATTTTAATGCAAGCCCAAAGAAAATCACAAAGGGATTATCTCTAGAAATTCCAAAAATGCTAAAATTTCATTTGGAAAAAGGGGAAAACAACAGAAAAGTTTTTAAAATTGAACAATTTGAAGGGAGGGGTGTATTTGCCCTGTCAGATAGTAAAACATTTTATAAAATGAACACACAGAAAAATAGAGCAACAGTCCCAGAATTAACAGATGAGGGAAAAAGAAAAGAAGGAAGTGACGAGGATGGACCCAAGCAGTTCACCAGGCATGGGGTGGGGGCCAGACGGGGTGGGCGCAGACAGAGGCGCCCTCAGACTTCAGAGCAGTGGTCTTTGGCACCACCTTTCTGGAGGGTCCTATAGCGTTATATAATCAAAGCCTTATAAATGACCCCAGGAAGTCCATGCCTAGAAATTTATGCTCAGGAATGAAGAGACAAGTGAGTGAAGACGCACGTGAAGCTGTTTGTAACAGCCAGAAATGGACCCGTAGCTGGGATGACTGACTGCAACTGGCAGAGCTAGACACCTGACAAGTGCGCGTCTGTTCTTAAATAATGTTATGTAGGTACAGTCATAATATAAAAAGACATTCAAGACATATTAAATAAAAGATTATAAAACAGTTCTGAATATGATGCTCTTTAATAAAATATGAATGTGTCCACATGTAAATATTATGATACAAATCTGAAAGATACATCACAAAGTAATCATAACAGAAATCATAATAGAAATGGGTGACAAGTGATTTTGTATTGATTATTTCTATTTCAAAATTATCCTGCACTGAATATGTGAATTATTTTTTAATAATAAATCTATTGTTTAGTGAAAATCTATTCTCTTATTGTTACAATCAGGATAATTTAGAGGAATAGTCCAAACAATATAAAAAATTCACTGGAACTTAAAGAAAGAAGGAATGCTTAAGGCATATTGAACACATATAAAAATTAATTTATGTACCTAATTTTTAAGTAAAGTGTTAACTTCATTAGAAAACTGTTAATAAAATCTCACTGCAATTCCAACCCAATCTAAACTCACTGCCATCGATCCCTCCTGTCGCACTCAGTGTGCCCCCTGCTATGGGAGTTAGTTGAGGCCAGCTGGCCCCTGGACTCCCTTTGTGTCTTGCTCTAGCTCCAAGGAAAACTTCCAGCAGAGGGCAGGAAGAGAAGGAAGAAGGGAAGAATTCTGAATTCAGTCCATCTCAGGGTTGACTCTAATAAACCTTGTGGACTCTGCTCTGACGAGGAATCAAGAGAGCAAAGAAGTTTTTCCCTCAATGATATTTGTATAGTACAGACAGGCACATGCCATTCTATGCAGTGAATATACACTCAAGAGAAAAGAAAAAAAAGAATAATATACTAACTTCTGTAAATGAAACAAATTTTAACTAATTAACATCACAATTTTATATATGATTCATGTTATTTTCTGGTGTTTCACATAAAGCAGTAGTTTCAATCACTTTACCTATATATTCTGTGGATGAAAAATAAGAAGTTATCTATAAATAAATATCCGTAAGTATATTAGAGGAGATCATAATTTAACAAATTCTTTCGTAAGTCAAATAATTTCCCCCAAATTGCTTGGTTCTGTATGTGTTCTAGTGTCACTCTGGCTTAGTCATGGGACAGAGCACTGCACTATACCTTATTCACTGAGATCCGTGTGTGTCCGTCGCATCTCCCCAGCAGACGGTACGTGCGTTGGGCAAAGGGACCATACTGTGTACTTTGCTAGACACATAAGGTATAATAAATATTAGACACTAAGTAGACTTTCCTAGGTTCACTTTCCTTCTCTGTCCATAAACACAATGCACTTGCTACAAGAGGAGCCTGGTCATTTCCCCAAACCCTTCAGTTAATCAGACCATCTTTAGAGAGTAATGTCCTTAAACTTTTTTGAACGCAACACAATCTGTCCTAATCTCAGATATTTAAAGGCAAGAACCCTGGGACTGATCCATACAATTAAGACACCCTTGCTTTTAGACAGGGCTCACTTATACTAACCCCATGTCCAACTCCTACAATGTCAGTCTATTTCCCTTTGCTCAAGGCCAGAGAGTATAACTTGCGCACAACCTGTCAAAATTTTAAAAACTCCTTTTAAGTCTAGTCTTCCCTATTTGGTTTAAATAAAGGGAGTTACTTTATCTCAAGGACACAAAGTGGCCACGCACTTGGCCTGAACAGTGATCATGTGAGATGCGCTGGCACGCCTACAGAAGGCTCTCTGAACTGCCACCAAGCCTGCTTCTCCTGGCACTCTCGCACCTGGCTGGCTTCTCTCTATGCCACCTGCCCTTCCTCTCCACCTCACTTTATGCTTTACTCATGAGTCCAGTCTTCCAATCCACACACAGAATAACA